CCCCCCACCCCCGGGTACCCCCGATCCATCTCGTCGGCTGGTGCGATGCCCAAAGAAATACCCAAAGCGGCCCCACTACGTGGTCCTACGGAGGTATGATACGCACGCACCCCGGTGCCATCTCGCCGACCGGCGCTAGCTGTAGATCAATATTATTTTTGTGCTCAGGGTGCATCACACGCCTACGTGTTAGGTACCGTTGCAGCTGGCTGGTAGAACTCCGTAGCAGCTTTCCATTCCATGCAGCGAGTGGTCATGGGTTTGCATGCGAGTTGGGCCATGGCGTGACGAGGACAGTAGTCTACGCAGCAAAATTGATCAAGCAAACATATGAGATAAAGTATACAATCCGTGCTTTGGGGTTGGGGTTAGGGTTAGGGTTAGGGATAGGGATAGGGTTTGCGTGCCCCCCCCTATTCTTTTTCTAGATACTCTCAAAATCCTGCGTAGGCGATCCGACGAGGACAACAAACGGTGTGGATTCCATCTGGCTGGGTACCGGTACACCGGTACATACAAAACGGTCTTCTTGAAAAGAAACCAGTATCTACCTAAGCAGCACATTGTAACATTAGATCTCCCTCTCCTTCCTTAAGGTGGGGGTACAACAGGTTACGGCTAGAATGATGTGTGCTTGGGTGGTGCACGGTTTGCAAGTACTTTACAGATAAGATAAAAACAATAAAATAACGGACAATCCCAATCCCGCGAAACCCGCGCCGGCAGTAGAAACCGACATCGTGAAATGTGAAGAAGAGGCGCTCTGCTGACACAGTCACCGCATGCATGTAGTACAAGGCTCCATTGTACCGCATAACGTCCGCTGACAAGGAGTTCAATCTTGGTTTGATGAGAATAAGGTAAAAATATATATATATATATATATATAAGGTAAGATTTCACGATTTCACCAGCACCGGTGCGGAAATACGTCTACCCTGTAACCTTACAAGAAGGCCGTTCTTGTTTCCTTGGGTATTGTTCAGTGCTCGGCAATCTGCGTCTCGGAATAACGCGTGCGTGCAAAAAGAGCGGTGCTTCGCCCTTTGACGAGAAAAAAAGGTCTCGGAATCTTCCCGTATGCAATAGCAGTTGATAGCCCGAGGATAGACTGGTGGGTTAATGGGTGAATACCTCGATGGATGGGGAGCTGATGGATAGTGTGCTTCTTCCGTAGCTATCGTTTGCTTTTCGACCCGCTGCTTCTACCTGCTGCCACTGCTGCACTTTTTTTTGCACCGCACCAAAGCCAGCATATTGCCATGTAGCCCTATCCCTATCCCTAACCCCAACCCAACCATCCCGACCCAAACCAACAGACTAGCATTAGGAAAGTGCTAGGTCACTACAGTTGTATACCACAAGCAAGACCAGGCCGCGGCAAGCCGCGGCGCTACCAAGGTTGTTGTTGAGCACCGTCAGCGCTAGGTTGCTGCAATGGCGAAAAGCTGGGTTGCTATAGCAAGTTCACGTTCTAGGTTGCTGCTGTTGCTAAAAGCAATTACAGGGCCAACCCTGCCCAGCAACGGAAATCAAATCTTCTGCACAGGTATGCATTGGAGAAGCAGAGACTCACTCTTGACGGGGTGCAGATCTGGTTTGAATAGTAATCGTCGAGGATAACCCCTTCCGCGGCCAGAGTGGTCAAGAAAGGGGTGAGCTGCCACAGATCCGTGCTCTCGTACCCGACGTCGTTCGTACCGACATCGTCGACCAAGATAAATATCACGTTCGGTTGCCCGCTAGAACTCTCCTCCTCCTCCTCCTCCTCCTCCTCCTCCTCCTGCTGCTGCTGCTGCCGCTGCTGCTGCTGCTGCTGCTGCTGCTGGGAGAGCAATAAATTCGTTTGCGCCAAAACGGTAGTGACTGGGCTACCGCGCCCTCCTCCCTTTGTCCCTGGTTCTTGTGCTGGGGTGGACGAGCCGCGAGGACGCGCCAGGTTCTTGCCAGCGAGCCGCGTGGCGGACAAGACCATGAGCAAACCCCCGCATGCCACCGCGACACTTCTCGCCTTGGGACAGGACCCAGGCAGCCACCTTCGAATCTTGCTGCTGCGCTGCCGCTGCTGCTGCTGCTGCCCGCGAGGAAGCAGCCTATCACGCTCGCCAAAGCTGCTGCACGTCATGTAGCTCATCTTTTGACCCCGCACTCACGGCTCTGGGAACGCACCCACAAACACAGCGGACTCCGGGGGAACTTCGTCTGCGTGCGTCAGGCGCCCAGTCCGCGGGTCCAGTTCGACAAATATTTACGTCGCACACACTTACCATCTGCTCCGCTCCATGCTGTGATTCGTGATCATGATCACGTGATCGGAATCAATGGTGAAAGCTCAGTCGCTCTTTTTTTTTTGCTTTTTGATTTTTTGGTCTTCACTTCAAATCAGCGCTCACGGCACTATCAGCGCTCACGGCACTAGTGCCGTTTACTCCAACCCGTGGTCACACAAGAGAGCCCCTCTCTACCCTCCCCTCCTGCGGTACTTTGCCTTCGATTTTCAATGCGAGAAGAGTTCAGCATTCTCTTCCCTCTGTGTAAACACGAACTAGCGCTATCCACTGGGCACACGTACGGTGCTGCAGGGATTTTTAGGTGTACCTCTTCGGGCTCTTGGATACCTTTTTCTCGTTATATGTGTGCGTGTTCTTTAGATCCTCAGATGGCTCTAGCACTTTCGTGACCACGGGCTGAGAGTCTTTGCTAGATTTTGGCATTTAGCAACTGACATACGGTTTAATGTGAAGACAACAACAACAACAACTAGGCCAGGAGCGGAAGCGAGAGAAAAACTCACTTTGCAAGAAGAGCTCGCTTACGCCGGGATTCGAACCCCTGACCTGACCTCTAGAAGGTTTCGGGGTCAACAACTCTCCCTTCTTCCCCTCGCTCCCCGACAAGCTTTTGCTTAGACATGGGTTGTAGCGAAGGGGGAGGTCTTTCTGGCGAGCAGGGCTAGACTCACCCTCAAGGGATGACCGAAACCTTCTTGCTGCTGCGCATCCGCCGCGAGGCGTGCGTGTGGTGGTGGAGTTGGGTCGGCACTGATGGGGTCAGGCGGGAAAATGTAGATGGCGGGCCTTTCTGGCCGTCGGCGTAGGCAGTGATGCCCATCTCATTTTTGTGCGCGGAGGCAGACACCATCAGAAAGGTGGACGGGCACTACACGGCCCTAGGTTTGCTAGAGGGAGCTGTATTGCCTCAGTAACCTGGCTTCGCCATCAACGGAGGAGGGAGCAGGTGGCGACGAGCTGAACTAGGCTGGTTGACCATTCGGCGCGAGAATTTTTATTTTTTCAGACCAAGAACCTTGAGTGCAATGAGGGAGAAAGCGAGGAACGGACTGGGAAGGACAGCAACGAGAGCGTGTACGGACGGAGCAGGTCGAGTGACGTTTTGCTCGGGCTGACTACAGCGGCGCCGGATGGAGCAGTGGCACCGGAGCATGCGGGCGACATCGACCCGTGGCGCACGGACAAACATTTCTATCTGTGTTGTCAATTTTTT